CTGGGACTCAAATCACGGTCGACTACGTGGGAGTCCAGCAACATAGCCCTTACGCTACCTGCTGGTCCCGAAATATACTATCTTAAAACACTGAAGTCTGAATCATTTATGTCTTGAGATGCATCTACCAGGTTGTCGGAAAAGTCATGACATATTTTTTTCTGTTTTTGTTTTTTTTTTTAAATGCAAAAACGGGTCATGATTTTTCCGACAACCCAACGGATGTACTTGCTACATTAAAGTTCTGAATTTAGCTAATATGACAATCAACCAAGCAGAGCACGCATTGCGAGAATAATTCATGAACTACACAGAGACTTTCAAAATGAATAGTACGTGAAAACAGTACTCAGACAGTGATGTTTCTTCCGAATAGCCATTAAGCATGAATGAAAACGACTCTTACTATCAGTAGACAGGGTACAGTCTCTGCTGTCCTTTCCAAAACCACATAACTCAGGACCGGCAGGTGGCATGGTGGTTAAGGGCACTGGCCAACTGTGGTTCGAGTCCTAGACCTGGCAGCTTGCTTTCTCACTTTCTCGCTAGCTCTCTCTTTCTCATTCTCACTCTGTTCCTCTCTGGTCAAATTAAAATAAACAAAAACAAACAAACAAATAAAGTTAAGTACAAGTCTTAAAAAATAAAAACACTTAACCCAAAAATAAAATAGTTCTCTGAAGACATCAATCAAGAGAGGAGAATGAAGGGAGGGCTGAGTAGGGCCAGGGACTTAGAGAATAGACCCCTCCCCATTCCTACAACTCACTCCAACCAGAGCAACGCCAGAAGCAGTTTCTCAGGGGCTACACAATGTGCACAGAATCATGTGTACGTGTTTATGTTGGCACTAAAACCTTCTCACTGAACATTGTACACCTAACATTGTACTAGAACCTTTCTAAATTAAAACATCTCCCCTTTATCTCTAGTGCCTAGTCATTATTTTTTATTATTAAAGACTTTTTTCCTTGGGGCTGGCAGGTGGCGTGGTGGTTAAGGGTGCTGGACTCCCACATAGCCGACTATGGTTCGAGTCTCAGACTTGGAGGCTTGCTTTCTCACTTTATCTCTCTCTCACTCTGTCCCTCTCTGGTCAAATTTAAATAAATAAATAAATAAAATAATTCTCTAAAGAAAAAAGAGTTTTTTGCTTCTGAGCAGTTGTAGGGTGACAACAGCATTAAGAGGAAGCTTAAGGTTCCTCATAAACCCTTCGACCCCAGACATGCAAACCTCCCCCACTGTGAGCAGCACTCTTGCACAGCGGCACCATGGTTACATCTGATGACCCCACACTGACACGTCACCACCAACTGAAGCCCACGGCTTGTAAGAGGGTTCACGCACTCTGTGGGTGTGAACGAATGTATGTACCCACTATTATAGCACCATACACCTATTATTACCACCCGGAATCCCTCCGCCCTCCACCAATTCCCATCCCCAACCCTGGGGACCACTGATTTTCTGTCTCTGGGACTCTGCTTTTTCCAGAACATCACAGAGCAGACCTCCTGGGAGGAAGCCTTTTCAGACTGGCACTACTTTTGACTTACTAATACGCATTTAAGGCTTCTCCATGCGTCTCTCTGGACTGAAAACTCCTTTTTAATGATAAATAACATTCCATTATCTGGATGTACTACAATGTATTTATCCACTCACCTACTAACAGACACCTTGGCTGCTTCCAAGTTTGGCGATTATGAATAAAGTTGCAATAAACGTAAGTGTGCAGGTTTTGAGTTGACTTATGTTTTCAACTCCTTTTGGTAAATACTAAGAAGTCTGAATGCTGGCTCAAGTGTTGAGAACAGGTATAGTAGTTGTTTTTGTTTTGTTTTGTTTTTTTGCTACAGGGCGCATGCACTCACCAGAAAGACAGAGACAGAGAGACAGAAAGTGAGAAATCACCCACCAGGGGGGATGGCCACGCTGCAATCCCTTCTACATTCTCCTCTTGGGATCTTGGGCACGCACACACACGTGCCCAGCGTGAGTGTAAGCCACCGGGTCCAGGACTCGAACTGCGGTCGACTACGTGGGAGTCCAGCGACATAGTCATTACGCTAACTGCTGGTCCCTAATGACCCATATTGATCAAAGTTGAACAAAGAAACGGGACGGAAAAAGACATAGGCGGCTACCACTAATCAAGAGAAGACTGGATTAGCTGTTGATATATAGTTATATATCGTGTTATATATATTATATATTATATAGTTATATATGACAACCCACCCCGTGACATTCCTCAGGACAGCCCTGAGACACACGACTGACGATTCCTGTCGAAAGAGCGGACTTCACAGAAAAGAATATTTTCAGAAATAACAAGGCACCTTATCATAATGATAGAAAGTTCTCCGAGACATAGCTGTAAATGGGATATATGCAACCACAGAGTACGGAAACACATGAGGTAAAAGAAAACTTGTGTCAAGCGCTACTGAAGCCAGTCACGCGCACACCCTCCGACTCAGCAAACTGCAGTCCTCGGCATACACCTGAGTGTTCACACGTCGCACGAGAACGTTCTAAAGAGCAGTCCTGGCCACCGTACCAACACGAAAGTAACCAGATGTCCATCGCAGGAAAAAGCTCACATATATACCTACAAAGCATTCCACTCACAAAATGGAAATGTATAGAACACATGTACAGGGACCAGCAGATAGCATAATGGCTACATCGCTAGACTCCTACATGGTCGACCACAGTTTGAGTCCCAGACCCGGGTCCATGTGCATGCATGCCCAAAATTCTGAGAGGAGAATCGAGGAGAAGGGATTGGGGCGTGGCCATAACCCCAGGGGATTGATTTTCCACTTTCTGTCTTTCTCTCCAGCGAGCACAGGCACCCTATAGCAAAAAAAAAATTCTCTTAGGGACCAGCAGATGGCGAAATGGGTACCTCGCTGGACTCCCATGTAGTCGACTGTGGTTCGAGTCCCGGACCCGGTGGCTTAAACTCACGCCGGGCACGTGTGCGTGCGTGCCCAAGATCCCGAGAGGAAAATGGAGGAGAAGAGATTGCAGCGTGGCCATCCCCCCGGGGGGGTGATTTCTCACCTCCCTTATTTCCTCCATCTCTGTCTCTCTCTCCAGGGGGTACACCAAAACAAACAAACAAAAAAGACAATGAAGGAAACTTTAAGCCCCAAACCCACACACTGAAAAGTCAGTAAAATTAAGGGTTTTTTTTTTTTTAGTTTCTGACACATCGTCTGTGCATAATCTAATCTGAAAAATAAATTGCTCAGCTACTTCTTCTATGTCTTTTCTCCAATCTTTGCTGAACTTATTTTGCGTTGAGAGAGAAATCCAGTCCTTGCTTGGCAAAAAGCTGATTTAGCTGATTCGATATAGGAAGAGGCTAATTCTAGTTGGTGAACTCTAGCAGCAGCTCCATCTGGTTTTTCTTTTTTTTTTTTGAGAGGTTTTTGCAATAGGGCGTGTGCGCTCAACAGACAGAGACAGAGAGACAGAAAGTGAGAAATCACCCCCCGGGGGGGATGGTCACGCCGCAATCCCTACTCCTCCATTCTCCTCTCGGGATCTCGGGCACGCATGCACACGTGCCAGCGTGAGTTTAAGCCACCGGGTTTGGAACTCGAACCGCGGTCAACTCCATGGATGTCCAGGGACATGCTGGTCCCAGTTCATATCCCATAAAATGATGTTTCCTTCTTTCCTCTAAACCAAGGAGTTGGCGAACATTCTCCTCAAGGGCCAGGGGTCAAGATTTTAGGCCTGTGGGTCACGCGGTCCCTGTGATAACTACGGTACTTGGTTTCTCTTAACGTAAGATCCATCTTAGACATTACATACAGGAGTGGGCATGGCGGTGTTCTACTGGAACTGTTGGGTCGTCAGGAAAGTCACGACACAGTTTTTGTTTAGAGAAACATGCCATGACTCCCAATGAGCTTACAGAAAAACAGCCAGCCCAGGGGACGTGGCTTGTCGACACAGCTGACAACTTCTCCTAAGTCCGTGCATTAAAATCACTGTAATTATCTGGAATTCGGAAGGGTTCTAGAAACTGGTGGTGTAAATTAAGTTCAATATAGTTTATCTAGTCAAGCCAAGGCATACATGTAAATGTTTCAGAAATGTTTGTGATAATAAGAGATGTAAAACATTGGGGCTTTGGGTTAACCAGAAGATTTAACTGAATGAAAACAATCACTGATCATGGCAATTAACCTAGGTATGGCCGAAGTAGGAGACTAAGAGGTGATAGTTTAAAAATAATCGATATACAGAAGACAGAATCAAATGCATAGGACATTAAATATCATGTGAAAAATCTACATGACGAATGGTAATGGAGGGATTGTGCTAATTTTCCTTTTCTTTTTACATATTTGTTTTCTACAACATATATAATTTCTTTAATAGACGAAGAGAGAGCTTCTTTAAAAGCACATTATGAAAAGATGCAATTTTATAACTACCAGAGTGTTTTTTTATTAAGCCTGGAACTGGAGATAGTTAGACTTTAAATTTTAAAATATTATTCAACCAGGGGGCCAGCAGATGACGTGGTGGTTAAGGGCACTGGACTCCCACATGGCCGACTGTGGTTCGAGTCCCAGACCTGGTGCCTTGCTTTCTCACTTTCCCACTCTCTCTTTCTGTCCCTCTCTGGTCAAATTAAAATAAATAAAATAAAGTTGAATTAAAATAATTCCTTTAAAAAATATTATTCAACCCATCAAGTCTATGCTCTTTTTTTAAAAAAAAATTTATATCAATTAAATAGGTAAAGTTTTCATTTACCTGCCGGTTCCTTTCATCCATTATACGTGTGATTTGTATTTTCTTGCGCCCCATTTTCAGTCACGTTTCCTTCCTTAGATCCCAAATACTTAATTCAAAAATCAATCTTCTTCAATATCCTAATGCATCGTACACAGCTTCTCTTAGTTCAGCTTCTGGTCCACGGGCTACGACTGAAAGTTCCTCTAAGATCTAAAAAAGAAACACAAAGTAGAAGGTGTCAGTTCTGTAAGTTTGCAGGTCAGAAAAATGCTCCACAAATTTTAAATGCTTTTAGGCTGTACGCGGCATTATTAGTTGAAACCTCCGGTTATATAAAATTAGTAAATATAGTGAAATCTTAATCATTTTGCCCCTAAAATAACTCTGGGATGTCTTTAGTTCTGGCTAAATGAATTGCAACTATAGTATGTGAGGTCTTCTCAAGACACTGACAGCAGCGACAGTAAGAGACTACAACACTTACTGAGATTTTTCTATGGGGCTGGCATTTTCCTAAATACAAACATATCTTAGCTCTGTCATCCCTAAATGCAATCTATTATAATGATCATTTCCACTTGCTAAATAAAGACTGAGACACAGGAAAAATGAAGTAAGTCGTGGGCCCATATTCACAGTCAGAAGCTGAGCTCAGGTAAGAACTCAGAGAGCCTGGCTCCAGGACGATTCTTCGATACCACAGAATATTCTTAAAAGCGTCCGATGCTCTGCATGTTAAAGGGTGCACGAACCTCGACAGCGCCAACTCGACTTCACGAATTATTCTTGCAAACAGACCCAGCCTCCTGTCCCGTGACTGCGTGTCAATCCACAAAGGCATAGTATCCTTTCATAATAATATGGATCTAAATGAAACACGATTCCTTTGGCCACGGAATGAATACCTCCGTATCAGTCAAGATTCATTTTCAGTGTCCCCTCCCGGCTGAAGCCAATGCCAATTCCCTTTGGTAGAATTAACCACAGTACTGGGACCAGCAGTTGGTGTAATGGCTATGTTGCTGGACTCCCATGTAGTCGTCTGCGGTTCAAGTCCCGGACCCAGTGGCTTAAACTCACGCCGGGTGCATGTGTGTGTGCCCACAATCCTAAGGAGAAAGGAGGACAAGGGATTGCGGCATGGCCATCCCCCCTGGGGGGGTGGGTGATTTCTCGCTTTCTGTCTGTTTCTCTCTGTCTTTCTGGTGAGCGCACAAGCCCTATAGCAAAAACTCTCCAAAAAAAAAAAAAAGAAAGAAAAAGCCATAGTACCTCTGTGTGTGTGTGTGTGTGTGTGTGTGTGTACGCACATAAGTTCTAAATCTGCATTCTTTAGAGACTGTGAATCCTTCCTGGGAGATTCTAAAAATTCTTCAAGGGACTTTTATTCCATCCATCTCCACAGGAGAATGCCTAGAGGCGGTATAGTTTGTCTTGTACTGCATGATGGTTTTATCACTTAACAACCAAGGGCTTAGGGCCAGCAGGTAGCGATGGTGGATAGGGTTGGGACTCCCACCCAGCTGACTGTGGTTGGAGTCCTGGACCTGGCAGCTTGCTTTCTCATTTTCCCTCTCTTTGTCTTTCTCTCTGGTGAACAAATTAAATAATAATTTAAATAAATAAATAAATAAAATAGTTCTTTTTAAACATAGGGCTTTTTTACACTTACATAATAAAAATACTTATGGAGAAATTAAGAACACTAAGACCCTCACAGAAATAAATTCACAAGAGAATTTTATTACATTTTTTTTTTTTTTTTTAGAGACTTTTGCTATAGGGTGTGTGCACTCATCAGAGAGACAGAAAGCAAGAAATCACCCCCCAGGGAGTATGGCCATGCCACAATCCTTTGTTCTCCATTCTCTTTTGGGGATTTTGGGCATGCATGCACACATGCCCGGCATCAGTTTGAAGCCACTGTGTCTGGGATTCAAAACTCAGGCAGCCATGTGGGAGTCCAGTGATGTAACCATTATGCCATCTGCTGGCCCCTATTAAAATGCTTTTAATAGTTTGTTTATAACTTCCACGTTGGGAGCCAGATCTCGGCTGTCAACCACGGTTCAAATCCCAGCCTCGGTGGCTCCAGAAACACAGCAGGCACGCGTGTGTGCATGCTCCAAATCCTGATAGGACGGAAGGTGGAGGAAAAGGATCATGGCATGGCCACACCTCAGTGGGCGGTACTGGCTGGCTCGCTCGCTCTCTCTCTCCTCCTGTCCCATCTCTAGTGAGCACACATGCCTTCTGGCAATTAAAATGATTACTTCTCTATCTCGTCACTGTTTAAATTTAATTCCTTTATTATTTCTTCCATAAGCAAGAGAGACACACAGTACTCCCAAGAAGGTCTGAGCACTGCGGTCCCTGGACGCACACAGGCCAGGTAGACTCAGGGAGAGTCAACCAGGAATGGTCCCATGTGGGTCAGCCCAGTACGTCCCTGTCCAGTACCTGAGGTACCTTTCATACTACACACATGTATCTATAAAACATCAGGCCAGCCCTGGTGGTGCAGCACCATAAGGACACCCTCCAAGATGCAGAGGCCACAGGAAAGCTTCCTGGATTTGCAGCCTGAGGATTCCACGTATATCATGCACATAAATATGCACCTGGGAGCCTGGCTGGCTGGGACTGGGTTGGGTCATGGCACGCATACCCTGTCAGTGGGGCCGACCTCTGTATTCCTTTCTCTCATGGAAAAAAACAATAATAAGCTTTGAAAGAAAAAAAATTCAATCACCCTTTGTAAATCCAGAGTTTAATTAATCTGGCTGGTGCTCAAAAGGAATGAGCCCTTTCTCATAGCCTGACTAGCTTCACTCAGCAACAGATTTTCCATATTTCTCCACTTTCTATCAAATTCCAGGGCCTTGTTGTTTTTTATGGCTGAGTAGTATTCCATAGAGTATATGTGCCACATTTTTTCAATCCATTCATCTGTTTGTAGACATTTGGGTCGGTTCCATGTCTTAACAATCGTGAATAATACTGCAATAAATATGGTTGTGCAAGCGCTTTTCTGACCAAGCGTTCTCCTGTCCTTTGGGTAGATACCCAGGAGCCAAACTGCTGGATCATATGGGAGTTCTATTTGAAAGTCTTTGAGGAACCTCCATATCGTTCTCCACAGTGGCTGGACCAATTTACATTCCCACCAACAAGGTAGAAGTAGTCCCCTTTTACTAAAGTCTCTCCAAAATCTAAATGATCTATAACCATGGAATGTATAAATAATGATATTAATGAAGAAAAAAATTAAGTAAAAAAAAAAGTACTGAGCCCTTTTACTCTCACCATGACCAGCACTATCATCAGGCATTTTCTTCATCTTCCTTCTTTCATTTCATTTCTTTGTTCAAACATCAACTACCTATTAACAACTGCTAAGCTACTAATTGACCCCTACTTGCAATAAACCTTCTGAATTAGGCACAGAGGATGAAGCAGCCAAGGGCAGGAGAAACATGACCGCTAATCTCCCCGAGTTCAGAGACTCACTGGGAGGGCAAAGGCATGGATGAGATCATCACAAAAATGAGTTTAATAAAACCCATTTCCCTGACCTAAATTTGGCGTCGGGAAAGGTTTCTCTGAGGATGTGCCTTCTCTGCAAACCCGAGTAGATTACCAGACACAGAAGAGAATATAAAAGCCATGAAAGGAAGGAACAGGAGGCATGGGGGGAAGCAAGCTGGCCGGCCTCTGGTGGGGCCCACGCAACATGGCGGCGATGCCGCCGGCCGTTCTGTTCCTGCAGCAGTCTGCATTACAGGCGGGCTGCTTCCAAATCACCTCGCCTAACAGATCACATCGTATCAATCCCCGCCACAGCTGTCTGGGGGAGGTGAGACAAATATTCACAATGTGCTGCAGAGATATTGTTGCTAACGTATGTAAGATCTATCTGCGCCGATAAGATACATAGAAGGTGCGACTTTCTACGATCTGAACGCTTCGAAATTCTAGAACGTATCCGGGCATTGCGCTTTTCACAGTGGGGGAGGAGATTGCTTCAGAACAACTTTCTTCTGAGAACAATAAAATGCAAGACGAAAGATCATCTATTTGAAACCAATGGAGGATGTTCAAGAAAGTGGGACTCTGCAAGGCCAGGACCTGGAGGAAACAGGAGAGAGCAGTTTTTGGACTCATTTTCTGCCTGTAGATTCCAAAGCTATTGATTAAAAGACTGAGAACGTGAACAGAGCTTTCAAGAGAGGTACAGGTGGTGGGACCAGCACGTGGCGTAATGGCTATGTCGCTGGACTCCCATGTAGTTGACCACAGTTCGAGTCCCGGACCCGGTGGCTTAAACTCACGCAAGGCGCATGTGCGTGTGTGTCCAAGATCCTGAGAGGAGAATGGAGGAGAAGGGATTGCGGCGTGGCCATTCCCAGGAGGTGATTTCTTGCTTTCTGTCTCGCTCTGTCTTTCTGGTGAGGGCACATGCCCTATAGCAAAAACATCTCCAAAAAAAAAAAAAAAAAAAAAAAAAAAAAAAAGAAAAAAAATTGGCACACACACACAAAAAAAACCACTGAAAAGACTTTAAATAGCAGGAAATCGGGATGTCAGATGCAGCTTGGATCCACGCACACACAAAAAGGAAGGGCAACCAACAGGGTAAGTAAGCAACTCCGACGAATACTGGCTAAATAAATAATCAGCTGCACTTCTGAAATATAAGATACTACTATTCGCAATAAGAGTGCATAATTTGAGAGGGTAGAGAATGAAGTTATAGTGTCCTAAAGCCCTTTCAGTCACTGGAGGTGGAAAAAGTGCTCAGGTACTTTAGGCTTTCCTATTCAAGGACATGCGCGGTGAGCTGTGGGGTGACCCTCGCAGAAACACATACTCGGAGAGGAGGAAAAACAGAATGCAAAAGGAGGCAGGAAAAGAGAAATCAACAGAAAACAAACAAGGAGATGACAGATTTAACCCAAATAGATCAGCAATTACATGAAATAGAATTCAACTAGACCTCTAAATTGTTTTAAAAATAGAACACAATTATATCAGGGCTGGCAGGTGGCATGGTGGTTAGGGCGTTGGGCTCCCACATGACCAAAGCATGGTTCAAATCCTGGACCTGGCAGCTTCCCTTTCTCTCTCTGGTCAAATTTAAAACAGAAATATTAATAATAAATAATTCTGCTTAAAAAGTGATCACAGAAATTTAAAGAAACACAATTAT